ACGATCTACGCGATTCATCGCGAACACCAGTCTGAGGCTGTGTTTGTGGTATCTAATCCTGGGCTGATGAAGGAAGTCAGGGGAGATCTTGAGCGCAGAAATGTGCCTGTCTTCGGACCCATATTTGACTCGTAGATAGCCTAATGAGATATGCCCGACTTCAGACTCGTGATCAACTGCTTGTTCGTGAGAGGCCAAAGAGGTCTCGTGGAGAGTAGGAAAGTATCCCCACTTCAGTGGCGTGGATCGCTATCTCCAATAGAGATGGCGGAAATGGTTGCTCTAGACCTTGGCCTACCATCTCCTTAAAGATGTGTGACGCAGGGACGAGAAGTCCGAGCTGGAGACTAGGAAGTCCTCCGACAAGCATTCCGTAAAGCTCGCTTCTGACGTTTGTTACCCAGGCCCCAGAATCTCCCTTTTCTTCGAAGGGTTATTAGCTTCTTATGAGGAGGGTTGCATTGAGCGTCAACTTACTGAGACCTGTGCTTTGTGCTTGAACAGCCCAAAGCGGACAGCTAAGTCCTGGCAAACGTATCTCAACATCACCCTGACCAAATCCAGTCACAGTTCCACGACGAGTGGTGATAAAACCCTCATCTTTGTCTTCCAGCGCTGATTGGGCCTTGTGACGAATACAGTATTCATCTCTGAGGTAACGCCTGTAGGTATCGTAATCATGTTGATAGCATTGTAGAAATTTGCGTTTTTCACCAGCGTCCAGTCGGAGGTCGGAGAAGACAAGTCGGTCTTCTCGCATAAAATTTTTGTCAGCATATCAACGTGTTGGCGTAGCATGTCCCCATCTCCAGTAATCCCAGTCAGCGTGTAGCCTTCTCTATTGCAATGGAAATCCATTTCTGAGTCGGAGTCCGGGTCGATCTTGTCTTCCTCCAACGCTTGCTCTATTTGATGTCGGACGGAAGAGATGGTCTACAGTTAGGCCGTAGATAGCTCCGGCTACCTTGACCAGGCCACCGAGGGTGGCTTGCCGCTGTTCGTCAGAGCCACCTGTGGAAGGGATGCTGTCGAGTGCTGTACCGCAAATGCCTATAAGTCTCTTTTGGTCTTTTTCAAGCATGGCATCGATGTATAGGTCAATATTGTTTCTCACGGTTGAGCTTCAGATTTTTCCAGAACTGCTGTTCAGATCCTGATCTCGACGACCTCCCCATCTCAGAGTTGCATGAGCTACTGGATTTGGTAAAGTATCTTGCAAAGTGCCTAGATACTAAGCGACAGAATATATTCGAACACTTTGCTACCGTCGGACCACCTACTCGGGAGAAGTGGTATGCACAACTTTTAGGTGATCGCAAGATTGCAGCTTACGATGTTCTTGATTTCGCCATCCTACTGTGGATTATGGTCGACGTCAAAAGAAGTTTTCTACCGAATTATGGAGAGAAAGAGAACAATACATGGCAGCTAGATATGTCTTTGAGGGAGCTACTTTCGCAAACCTTCCCTCAAGACAAAGCACCTGATACTGAGTCGTCGTGTTGGCCCTACAACTTTCACGCAGCAAATCTACATCATATGGGTGATTTCAAGATCATCTGGACTGAGCGACTGCAAGATCATCTTGTCATAGACGAAACAAGCGGCACAGTCGAAATGCGAAACTATCATCATGCCGGATCCTGGATTGCTTACACTGCTCCGATGTCGGGAGCGCGTTCCCATCCCAGTTCTTGGAGGGGACCTTGCAGAGTCTGGCTGTTCTGCTCCCGAAGTACAATCGTGCAAGCCAGCGTTGGATTGATAGAGAGCGTAGACGAGCAAAGAAGAACAAAGGTTTGGCATCACTACTGTGTTATTCTTCGAGGACGACAGAGCACTCATAGGAGTACAGGATTTCTAGACGTTACAGCCGGAAACCAGCCACCAAATCTCAACGCTCGTGAAAGTAACTGGTATGAGCATTGGGGTCAGCGCTTGTCGATGGCAAAAAACATATTCGATCAGACCGAGCCGAACACACTTTCTCAGTGGTGGCACGACACGCGGAACTCGAGTAGAAGGACGACTTTTTGGATCGGCGTTTTGGGCGTCATCCTGGCTGTGACCTTTGGTTTTGTACAATCCGTTGTTGGGATCATTCAGGTTGTAAGGTCTTAGTATCTTATGTGGTTCTACCTTGAACAAGGAAGATCTGCCTCCAAGAATGAGTCCGGATCAAACAATAGTTCTATTCTTTCTCTATGAGACTATGCTCTGCTACTAAATCATTCTATAATAAGGTAATGAGTATGATAGGTGGGCAGCCTCCCAAGCATGACTTCGAGCGGCAAGTTGTTCAGTTTGAGTGGCGCGTGCGTCTCCATGGTGTCCAGCAATCTGTGACCAGCTTCCTCAATATTTATGGAGTTTGCGAAGCTCGGCGCTGAAACTAATATCTCGTCACTCATAATGATGCTTCGATATGAGATCATTTACCGTAGCATTTGGTTTCCAGGGAGATCTAGGACCGTGGAAATTGCTAAAATCATCCAACGAGCACGAATCTTATGGTCACGAATCGTTCTTCACTAAACTACTGTTCCTACATCCCAAGCCACGGAGTGCGTCATTTTTCAGTGCCCAGACCTCAACTATTCCCACAACTATCTCGAAAGCACTTTCTCGATTGTAGGTTGGGAATCCGAAAGATTGAGCTGGTGATGAGTTCGTACTTAAGCCCACATTGTCAAGCTACTTTAATGTAATAGAGTATATCACGCTGTGAGTTTTATCTACACCCCAGAGTCTAATGGAAGACGCTCAAAAGTTGAGTTCCAGAAGCTGCAGCTAACAAGGAGTCATGAAGAGTCAAATGGACACAAACCTATTGTATACAAATAAGATACCTAAGCCAATACCAAACCCTGATCATCAGGCGCACGCAACCATCCGTACCGTCGTATCGCTGTTTCACAAGCCTTCCAACCACCTGAATCTAATCGTGGTTTGTAACACTTGAGGTCTCACTCATTCAACTTACAGGCCAAGGTCGGACGACTCCTGAGCTGTGGTAAAGAAAAACAAAGAAAGAGAAAGCTCGTTGTGCCAGTGCATATTATGGGCTTGAGCACGGATCCCGTTCCTTGACTTGCTCTTATCGCCTCGTGAGAGTGTCTGTTGTCGGGTGCGGTTTTGTTACAACATACTGCACAACCTTTGGCACGTTCACGCCGCAAATTTACGATTATACGATCGAGACCTCTGACATTCCTGTCAACCAACAAGCTTACAGGCACACATATCTTGATGCTCTTCATAATCTCGACCCCGTCGAGCCCACGTCTTTTCTGGTCAGAATTGCTCGCCCAAATGACTAGTGCATGGACGATGAGAATCACAAGATGAGTAAGGACGCTGCCAATCTTGTTTTGGCTCTGATACAGTCCTTTGACTATGGAAAGATGCACATTGAGCAAGCCTTTACGCTACGTTAGCAACATTCCTATCATGCAGTAGCGCAATAATTGACAGCACAAAATCGGATCTCCAAATCTGGGAACGCAGTGTAGCTTGTACTTCTAGGTGTTCTGTCACCACTTGTGGCCGGGAAGTACAACCCTGGCTCTATCCAGTGCGCCGGGCCTCGACTTGGTGCGAAAAGATGGCAAAGAGATGAAGGGCAGACGGTCGGGTCAGATTGGTGCAGTAGACGCTGTCAAACGCGAGTGAGTATTCTTGGATCATGACTGTGTACCAAAGAGGATCGCGCCGATCCCTTGAGACACGAAAACCAACCTTTGTTTTATAACGTGGCCACTCTGAGTATGGACTAGCAGCATTCAGGGCAGAGATTGCCGAGTAATCCGTGCACGAAGATAGGAAAACATGACAGGAGTCATCAGCGTGGCGTGAGGGAATATTGCGCAGACTCTGTGGAGACAGGGTCACACAGCCTGCTCTGTTGTTCTCCGCACCTTGGCAAAACAGAGCACTCTGCATAAACACGCCATCTGCTCTGCTCTGCTCCCCTGCTCTGCTCTACAAAGCACGACAGAGCACGCAGAGCAACATGCATACACTCATTATCTATCAAGTATATAGGTAGGCAGGAACTCAGTAGGAGGTCCTGCGTTCAACTCAATTAGTTATTCCAACAGTCCCTTTGGTTTACACTACACATCACACTACTTGCTTCACTTGCTTGACACTCCTCTTCACGAGTACAAATCCCGTGACTAGTTATTCTCCCCAGAATAGTTGGCCATAACACTTTTATACGCAGAGGCAGCCATTATAACATGTCCACCACGTTAAAACCAACACGTAGAAGCCGCATCGGTAGTGCCTAATTAGCTCCTAACGGAAGTTGTCTATAACAATGTTTATAGAAATGCTATATCTGCTCCTAGACCAACCTTTGGACTGTGAGCCTTTTTGCTTAGTGTAGGTTCAGCTGTTTCGTCGCATCTGTTTCTTTGGTCCGCTACAAGAGATGATAGAGACTCTGCTAAACTACATATGAGCAGACGTGTGTGATGCGTGCCAGAGAAAAAGATGATACGGATGATAGAGATTACCATTATGCACCATCTGGAATTTTTCGTTCGGATTTCTACGTAAGAAATTCTCCTACCAACCATCTGATTTGCAACAACGAACAGAATGATCACGTCAGTCTTCTCAAATGATCTGTAAAAGCCCGCCCTAGGACTATGGGAGTCAACTTAAGTTAGCTTCATCTGCCTTTCGAATATAAGAACTCTTCTGGCTCACTTCATCACGCCTGTAGACTTCACTTTAGCTCTACCGATTGACCCGAACATGGTGAGTGCATACTGGAAGCCCAGGATAAGAGTAAGAAAGATGGGCACTTTATTGTTAAGACCATAGAACGGCATCGCATAATTCCTGGATTTTCTGTTGACAGGTGAAATATTAGGGGTGATGAGGTAAAGGTAGTCGTAGTCCCCAAGCCATCCTTCTTTGCTGGAGACATAACTTGCCAATCGTCGGTAGTTTTGTCTGAAGTTGAGTTTCGCGCGGTAGTCTGTCACAGACCCTGGAGAAGTTTCTGTCACCTCTCCTTGTGTCGCAATCTGGTTATTCGCCTTCTCAGAAATGACGGTAGTTGTGGTTGTCTCCATCGTGTATCTGTTTAATGACTTGGGGAGACAATCGATTCGATCTTCCGGGCACACTAGTTATGAATGGTCTGAAGACGACTTGTAGCCTTCTGATTTGGTGTATCTTTGAGATGTACGATTCGATAACGGATGATGTGTGATGGTCGCTATCAATAATCTGTGCGCCTGAGATAAAGCGGGACTGTCGTACAACAAATCATGTCACCCTCGATGCTCTCGGTCATGTCCGATAGTTCAGAACCGTCAACAAGCAGCTTACTAGCTACTCCTGGGGCAGATGACAATCCGATCTTTTCTTCGTAAAGCTCAAGGCTGGAGCAGCATACCTTCAATCTGCGCAACACCTTCGAGAAGCAGCCATTTGCCTTCTTCCTAATCTTCAAGCAACATGGCCTCAACCTCAAGTCTTCTCATTCATGTCACCATCATTACTGTTGACAAAGAGCGACGCATCATACTTGATAGCGCCTACTAATCAGAGGCAACGAGATCGCGGCAATCGGCAAGACAGCTTACCTATTGCACGACCTTCTCGTGTCTGACGACACGAAACATATCGATTGCTCTGGTCGAATTATTCTACCAGGACTAATCAACATACATGCGCATCTCGCGGAATCCCTGCTTCGTGGTCTTGCAGAAGACCTTCCTTTGCATTCCTAGCTATGTCATGCAATTTGGCCTCTGGACGCGAATCTTGGCCTGGTAGATGGATACATCGGAGCGAGATTGACAATTGCTGAAATGTTGGAAAGCGGGACCACATGCTTCCTGGAAGCCATGTTGACACATCGAACTGGCTTTGAGAACGTGGCGGCTGCCGTGGGTGAAATGAGCATACGAGCTTGTCTTGTTGTTTGATTCGAGGCTTGCAAAGTCAACACTGATTGCTGAATGCTTACAGGGCAAACTGGTGAAGGTCGAAGAGGCCAACAAGGCTACCGGAATCATTGACGCAAGGGACCGAAATATCTCGAGCATATCCATTGCATCCGCCCTAGAAGCGCACGATGCTCATCATGGCTCATGTGATGGCCGATTGCACGTATGGATGGCGGCAAGAACGCATAGAAGTTCGCCAGCTGCTTTACACAGAGCTATTAGAGACGCATGCGAGAGCAACGGTTTGGGTCTTACCATGCATTGTGCAGAAACTCCAAAGGACCTCCAGATCTTCGCAGGCTGCTATGACTGCACTCATGCAGAGTTCTGCAAGGACAATAATCTGGTCAGGAACGGTGGTAAAACAGTTTTGGCGCATATGGTCAATCTCAAGCTTGAGAAAGACGTGCACCTGCTCAGCAAACGTGGCGTCGCTGTGGCTCACAATCCAGCAAGTAACTGTAAGCTGGCTTCAGGAATCGCTCCCATCCCCGAACTTATGGACGGAAACGTCAACGTGTCCCTGGGAACTGACGGTGCTCCTTGCAACAATACCTACGATATGTTTCAGGAGATGCGATTAGCGGGTTTAATCTAGAAAGGAGTCAGGAGAGATGCTGCCGTAATGAGTGCCGACAAGACCTTGGAGATGACGACGATCGACGGTCCTAGAGCTCTCGGCTTGGAAGACAAGATCGGTAGCCTGGAGGTCGGAAAACTTGCAGGTTTTGTGGTATTGCGTGGCGGGGATTGCATTGTGCTCCTTTTGATCAAGAACAGATACTTCATGGTGGTGTCGATGCGATCACTACTGTAGTGCATCCGTGCACTGGTTCAGATGTCGAGAAGGTGGTAGTAAATGGCCGAGTCCTTGTTCAGAATCAGAAGCCTGTCTGTGCTGATGAACAAGAGATATTACTCCAAGCACGGCAGGCGGCGAAGAGGATTCGAGACTCTGCTGGAGTCATAGCGAGGCAGACAAGAAATTATCTGTAGCTCTGGCATACAGAACTCTTCTTACGACTAGATAGTCTGGTGAAACCACCAAAAGATATTTGTAATTGCTCAAGCTGTATTAAAGGGCTGTTCTAGAAGCCAAACATGTCTTTACCTTCCTCATATCCCTATCAAGTGTTAACGAAACCCTTTCAAAGAGGAAAATCAACATGAACTTACCCAATCGCGCAGCGCAGGCATAGCAGCCTTCTGTATCATAGCCGGAGGTCCACACACGAATACAACACTCTTCTTGCCACTCTCCTTCTCAGGACCATAACTGTACTTCTTGATCTTGTCTGCATCGACATGACCCTTCTCACCTTTCCAGTCATCAGAAGGGTGACTCAGGATGTGTTGGATCTCGAAGCTATCCTTGTGGTCTTTGGCGAACTTGTTCAGGTCTTCACGCAGCAAGATGGCGGACTCGTCTTTGTTAGCGTCCACGACCTTGATTTTCGTCTTGTCGCTGTCGGTAGCCATGATCCTGGCGATCAGTTGATACCCAGGTGTGATACCAGAACCACCAAGGATAAGCGTGATGTTCTCGAACTGTTGCTCCTCGTCGAAGATCTCGAATTTGCCATCCCCGAGATATTTGATGTCGCCGGTAGGACCGCGGATCTCGACCTCCTCGCCTTCTTTCATGCAGTCGAGAATGTTGCTGAGGGCACCACCAGGCTGGTCGTCAGTCGGGAAATAGGTCTTGACGACAAGGTCGAAAGTGCCGTCCTCAGTGTCTGCTCCAACGATAGGCGCAGTGGGTGTGTATGAGCGGACGAGCATCTTATCGGCCATGTGGAATCCCATCTGCAAGTGTTGGCAAGTACCAAGACCGAGCTTTTTGGATTTGTCGCCGAGGCTGAAAGTGTACTGGCGGGTGTCTTCGGAGTTGTTCTTCTTCTTCTGCAGGGTCACGGGGTACCATCTGTAAGTTGAGGTTAGCGTCGATGTGCTAACGGAAGATCTTGATGAAAGTAGACGTACTGCTGCATGGAGAGTACAACATTAGTCTTCTTGTTCGAAGCTTCTGCCTTAGCCTTCGCTGCCGCTTCCGCTTCTTTCTTCATATGTGCTTTAGCCTTGTCTGTTACTGTACCGAGAATACATTCTGCGCATCACGTCAGCGAACTGGTAATTCTTAGCTTGAAAAAGAAAGAGAGCATACCAGCGAGCTTCTTGTAAGCGTAGCCATCGTGGATGGATTCGAAGCTCTCCGAAGTCTCTTGAGAGAGCTTGCCACCATGGTTCATAATGGTTGCCTTGCCACCGGGGTGCCAGTCAAGCACAGAAGTCGCATCGTAGACATTGCCATCGACCACAATCCAGCAATCGTCTTCCTTATCGTGCTTCTCGATTTCCTCTCTGGTGAATTGTTTCTGCGGTGTATTGGAACTATGCTTTGCGCTGGCAATCTTCTCGTCTGCGCTAGGCTCTACCCATCCACCGGTACCAGTGCCTGGCTCGACAGGGTGGCAGAAGAGGACCTCAACGTTACCATCCTTGCTTTCAGTGATTTCGGGTTTGACCTTGTACCAGCCATTGTTCATCATGCCCATGACGTTCCATGAGCCGAACTGGGAAAATGGGTTAGTCAAAACGCACGAAAGTAAAACTTCTCGGTGTACACATACCTCTGGCTGGGTGTTCTTGAAGACGTTGAAGCATCGCACAATAATGCTCGGAGCTCGGAGCAAGTGCGCCTGTTCGATGTCGATGTACCAGTGAATCCAGGTCCAATACTTTTGACCATGTCTGATTGGAGCCTCTGGGAATTGTCTGATACAGTACAACCATGTCTCACCATTGTCGAGACTGACTTCGACTCGCTGCACCTCATGACCACCTCCATCATAAGCATAGCCAGCAATGCGATACGTGTGGCCCTTCTTGACATCAGACACCCCGATGCGCTCACCGTGTCCAGGATTAGCGATGACCGAATTCAAATTTTGTTCGTTGCAAGCCGTGTCCGGGTGGCGGAAGAGGGTTTCCGAAAACTCACCGTCCTTCTCAGTAACGAAAGCAGGCTAGGAAGAATTTGTTAGCACAAGGCGCTGCTAAACTATGATCGGGATACTCCGAACCAGCACGCGATTGTCCCAAATATGATAGTGACTGTCGTTCTCCTTCTCACTAATCCAAATTTTTTTCAGCCATTTGACTTGCCTTCCACCAACATATCCAGGAATAATGACTCGTAGAGGATACCCATGGTCAGGAGGTAATTTGACATCATTCATCTCATAAGCCAGCAGGACATCATTGACCGGATCCATAGCATACTCATACGGGATGCATGTCTCGTAAGTACCCTCTGATGGCTCATCAGAACCTGCAAAATTGACCCATCTTCTGACTCCAGATCCATTGGTAGGGTAATCAATTCCAGCCGCTTTCAAGACATCGGACAAAAAAGCACCCTTCCAGAATGCGTTACTGATAGCACCGGCGCCCCAGTTAAAACTTTTGATCTCTGGGTCATGTTGAGTTCTTTGCGTCTGTTACCGTCACAAGCCAGTGCGACTGCGATGTTGACGCTTTCGAACCTGTTCTTAAGGTCGTCCATGCTAAACTTACACTTTCCGTTCTCGATGTCCAGCTCGTGCGTTTCCCACAGTAGATGTGGTACGGGTCCATGGTTTCGCACACAGTGCAAGCGATTTGGGGTGATCAGACCTGTCTCAAAGAGGTCTGATAGCGGATATTCGGCATTCAAAGGGTGCTTGCCCGTCAGACGGATCATATTCGAGTCTCTCGGGATCCAGTTGTCCGGGCTGGCGCGGTCGGCATCATCAATCACGTCAGAAGGCTTGAGGTGTGCCCAAGGAGATTTCATCTTCCCGTCGCTTTGTTTGAGGTTCTCGACAATCTTCTTCTCTGCTTGCAGACTCCTCAGCAGTGCAATTTCCTGCACGCTGTACTTTTCTCGTAGTTTTTCGTATCCGGATTTCGGTTTGGAATCTTTCTGCTCCTCGGAATCTGCTTGATCGGCTTGAGATCCATCCTTAAGGTCCTTTTGGTCATTCTTGCCGTCCTGCTTGTCGCCATCCTGGTTGGTTGCCTTCGAGTCATCTTGTCCACCGCTTGAAGCATAAGCATCATTGTGTCTCTGACGATTGAGGTTGCCATCCTTCCATTCATGCTCTTGTTCTTGCTTCTCCTCTTGCTCTTTTTTCTCCTTTTCTTCCTTCTCTTTCTCTTCCTTCTGCTTATGGCGTTTTAGATTGGCGGGACAAGGTTCTTGATTCTTGATGAAATCTTCGGACTCGTTGAGTCTGTAACGCCAGCCATTGGGATGATCTTCCGGTTCTTCGAGGTAATAGTCCTGTATTGCGTTAGTGCCAGTCTAGCTGGTGTGTTGATGACATGTGCACATGCCTCTTGCTTCTCCTTGGCTTCGCGAAAGTTGACCAATTTATGTTGCTTCAAATCCTTTTGCAGCTCGTCGGACTCTTCTGCAGCCTCCTTGAGGAAAGAATCCTGACTGTCTTCGCTATCAGAATCATCGCCGCTTTGTACCAATCCAGGGACACGGTCAAATCGATCACGATAGCCAATATGATGCTTGGCTGAGCTCCAGTCAGGCTCGTTGTCAATTTCCTTCTGAGAGGAGCCGGGATGACCTCGGACGTAAGTACGGTATGGTATTGGAGGCATTCTGATGGTTGAACTATGGAACCGCGCGCTGGGAGCTGGGCAGCTGGGCTTATGTGAACACCGGAGCTCTGATTGAATTTGAAATTACGTTATCCATCGGGAAGTGTCAAAGTCAGAAAGAGCTATGATCGAGCTCCTTCACCTTGTTTTGAAAGACCCGCGGAGAAGCGGGGCCTCAAAACTGACGTCGAAACGGTCAAACATGGATGTCAACCGTTGGAACTCGGGGATCGGCTTTCTAGCGTAAGCCACTTTGGCGTGAGCCTCTAGACTTTCTTCTTTTGTTGTCAATATCTCTCGCATGAAGTCGTTGGACATGTAGAGACTATGCCTCCGTACAGTACCGCGAATAGCAGATGCATATTCGAACCACGGATTTGAACCTTGTTCAAGACTGACATGTCGCCCTAAGATTAAGCTACCGCTTGCTGATCTCCTGAGCAGCGGGAGAGTCGGGCCGTGATGATCCCTCAGATCAAAGTTCGGCGAGAGTACAGTACCTGTCTGTTTTTATGCGAGTCGATGCAAGCGGAGAATATGATGTGGAAAAGACAAGAGCCGACCCCAGTGTGTCTGCGGCTGATCACCAGCAAATAACAACAGGTCCACAGGAAGATCTGCGACTTTTTATTATCGGGATCTTGGACTGGGCATGTACTCATGATCAGGTTTCTAAGTGACGAGAGTGTAGTGCGTAGCTTCGAAGTGTGCGCTGAATGGTTTTGATTGTGTCTCGTCTTCTACTCACATCTTATTTTTACGTCTCCTACCAGCCAGGGCTGCTCATTCTCGATACAAAGTCCGGGTGGGAGGGTTTCTCGATTTCGTTGAGGGGTTTTCTGCTGTATCTAATTCTTTGGCATAATGACGATACCCATGGTGCAAGAGGTGCCTTGGAGATTGGACAGGAAGGCTGTCTTGATTCATGCGCCAGACCTCAACAAGGCTTGGACGCAGAGGAGAGACTGGACTATATTCGACCAGCCATTCCTACTACTCACCTACAATCAAATCATCTTACCTGTTGCCATTCTTGGAAAGCGTCCACGTGAAACTACGGCACCTGATCTGATGTTACATCCTCCTTGCTTCCTCCCGCCACCATGATCTCCCACTGAAGTCTGCTCCACCTTTGAAGTCGATATGCCTACTGAAGCAGGTGACCTTGACGACGCTAGCAGTCACGCGGTGACCAAGACGCCTCTCAAGGTCAGACAACTTACCCAAGACGTGTTCCATGTCGGAAGCGATATCTCAAATTGGGAGTGTGGGACGAACTGCACGCCTAGAGCGCACGAACCCGAGCAGTTTCTTTCGAGTGTGGAAGGAAGAACGTTGATTTGCGAGACCGCGTGGCCAATTCTGTGATTGAACCTGCCGAAGTGACAGTCCCAATGCGAAGAATGAGGAATGTATCAAAAAAAAAAAAAAAAGCCAGATATGCAGGAGCATCATTAGGACGTTGGTTCTTTTGAAAACAGCCACGAAAGAGAAATTCGCAGCTCTGCTTGTTCAAGTTGTCCGCAAGATCTGGACACTCGCGTGACATGAGCTTCGAAGGCTGCCTGGCTGGTCTAGTCGCTTCTTCGAAGTTTTCGTCCTTCCCGTACATGCATACCAGCTTATGAGGATGCCGTCGACCTGTTCAGGCAGGTTCGGATATCCGGACTCTTCGAAAGTTGTTGAAAGTTTGATAGGTTTGATAGATCCGTGCTTTCTCGTTCGTGTGGCTCATCCCGTCGAGTTCCGCTTGACGGCGGTGCTGCCGTGAGATGCGTTGCCGATGTTTCAAACACTGCGTCTCGGATCCATCACGGAAGCCAAGTGCAATAACCACAGGATCCTCGACAACTCCCGCGGAGCTACCCCACCTCCATGGAAAAGCCCTCTTCTCCCAGGTGTTTCGTGTCTTGCCCTCTCGTGTTTTTCATGCTACGTCAGTGCGAAACCTGAGATATATTCAACGATTTTGGCTTGTTCGGTCACTGTTCCGTTCTGTCTTCTTGCGATTTTGGTAGCGGAACTCAACACATCATCACGACATCTTATCACCAACATACTTTCAGAGGCCTGATACGCAATACTATCTTAATGATTCAGCAAAGAATGCCATCGCCATACTCTGGTTTAGTTTCATCGCCTGACCTTGCTCCACAAAGTGCAGCCACCTCCCTGGGTAAAAAGCCTGGCACTTTTCATTCACACAGCCTACGACCACCATCGGCAGATGAGTGTAAGCACGATAGACAGCATTCTGAGCTACCGATGCTTCCGTGTTTCCATCCAGCAAAGTTTCCCACGCCTCAGCACGGCAATGCTCTGACTATATCACCTGGCATAGGTCGCAGACAAGCGCAGCTCGGTTCTCAGTCGCGGCACAAGCAAATCGGAGGAGCACAGAAGCGGCTGAAAACGTACCAATATGAGGTACTCGACCTCAATGAAGGACAGAGTAGAAAACCGTTGTTGAAGGCTGAACCAAGCAGCCCCAAGTTGCAACCCACGACCTTATCAGGGCCTGTCACACCGTTAGCCCTGGAGAGACATGAGAGCTATTTCTCAACGGGATCGGGCTTTCTTGGTGTCAAGCGTGATGTGCTTAAGGCTTCTGACACACATGGAAACATGACAGACAATAACCACAGTCCGTCGCATTGATTATGCACTCGCAGCCGTAGCCATAGGGGACACTAGCCTCGTTGATCTGGATCGATCCGAGACCTTCTGCTAAGGCTCCAAGTCTGTCGTCTATACAGGTTAGATAGAGCGTACTCCTGAACGACGTTTTGCATGCCTCTCCAAGAATGGTTTCGAAGGACACATGACGACTTAGCTACAACCGATCTATGATGAAGTTGCAGGGATAGAAGTCGCGCACCCCTCCAAAGGCTCTCGAGGTGGGCCAAATATACATCCCTGTTAACCGCCCGTTCAAACGTCGGCATTTGGAAGCAGCACCTACACAGTTATTATCACTTCCAACGCATAGTCAAAACCATCTCTAGACACAAAGCAAGCATAGATGAAGCGGGAATATCACAGAACAATCAACATGTTGCCAATTACCAGAGCAGGATAGTTTAACTCGCCGCAAGTGTTTACAATCCACACATCACTTATTTCACGTTGGACATAGACAATTAAGAAGGCTTACTCAAGTCTGGCGAACATTTGCACATTTGCGCAGACCTCCGCGTGATATTTTCCACGACGATCTGAGCAGTGATCAAGAGTGACATGCCTTTCCTCAAGATATCATGTGGAAGGAACTTTCATTGTCGCTTCTATGATAACTTGCAGGCAGAGGAAAAATTCACCAGTGCGGCGAGCTAAGCACTACGCCGAGGAACTAACGACATATGATCCAAGTTGCACCATATCCTCCCAGACTGGCAAGTTCTTTTTTTTTGCTTTCTTGCTTTTTTTGCTTTTTTTGCTTTTTGTTCCCTCACTTTTATTATTGTGATAGGAACCTATACTAGATGGCGAAAGGTCTCGTAAAGCTACCGCCCCAGCGGCTTTTAACGTACCCACCCTTCGTATTTAAGATGATCCTCTTCTTTCTTAATTGGATCTTTTGTCCATCTTTCGATCGACTTACGTCTGTCCTCGATCCAAGAAGATACGATAGTGTACATGGTTGAAATTCAATGGTTGTCCGGTTCTCTAGATGTTCCCGGGTGCTATCGCGGTTTTTGTCTTTGCGTGAGAGCGGCGTCAGTGATCGTTTCCGGAAGAAGGCATTCAAAGAATTGAGTCACGAGAGGGCTATGTCTTGGCTGTGAATCCTACCTGCATTCTAGACTTACCAGAGAGGTAAGGTACGGAATCTCAGGTGCTCTCCATGAGCACCAACAATGCTGGGGTCTCACAATTGGGGATGTGTCTGTAAGATGCGCATGGCCGAGATGTACCCGTGCAGAGTCTTGCGCGCATGTAAGTAGTGAAGCAAGTTGTACAATCAGAAATTATGAATAGTCCAGGGCCCTCAACTCGGTAGCCTCGTTATACAATATGTGCTCCCCACTGATACCGTTGTCCGTCTTATCCTCATCCTTTCCGGGCCACATGATCTCCCCAATCCACACAGCTCGAATGTTTGCAAATGCGCAGACGATCCACATAATGACCAGCCCAACAGTCAGTGCACTGCATACACCGTTGATACTCGCGCTTTCCAGAGCAGTTCCAGTCTGGATCGAAGCAAGTGTAAGACCAGCGTTGGGAAAGACGAATGCCCACCAGTTTAAGGTGAATGACATTTTCTTGATTCCGGCAAGAACTGAGACTAAAGAGACGCAGAAGAACCAGAAAGAGAACAAGATCACGAAGAATCCTGCCAGGATACCAATGACTTTGATCACGTCTCCCATCGGAAGGGAAGTGATACCAAACAGTTCAGTGTCACCGAATACTTTGGGAGCTTGCCGACCAAGGGAGATGAGGGCATGCGCAGTGTAGCCAGCTGGCCCTACACTCACAAACATGCCAGGTCTAGTGGGCGGGTCTGGCAATGCGCTGACCATCAACCTCTGTGTGTACATGGCGTACATCATGAGAGCGACACACCATCCAGCACCTTGCAGCATGATCGCGCCAAACCAGATTTTGACAGCGGCGTAGTGTGGCTGATAAGGGACAATAGTTTGAGCCAAAGGGCCGACCACAAGCAGAGGATAGATTTAACAAAACAATCGCTATCTACTCGCAAGGCCCTAGCTGATCCTTCGTTGCAGAGCCCGACCGAGGAAACATTGCAAACGCCATCACCAACAATTTCATGAAGGATGTTGGCATAGCTCAAAATCAATTCAACGTCGGTCAGCAGATGTTATCACTTGGCATTGTCCTCTTCGAGATTTCTTCCAACATGATTCTGTACCTAGTTGGCTCTGGTAAATGGTTGACACTGCAACTCTTCCTCTTTGGTATCGTCAGTACCTTCCAAGCCTTTCAGAAAAAGAGAACTATGCATCCTTTATTGCAGCTCGTTTTCTCCTTGGCCTGGCCGAGTCTGGCTTTATTCCTGGCAGTCTGTGGACCATATCTACCTGGTATACGAGAAAAGAGACAGCCAAAATAGTCATGGTATTCTACTTTGGCAACCAATGTGGTCAAGCTTCTGCCAAACTTCTCGCATATGGTATTCTCCACGTGCGCGGTGTAAGTGGCCGGCCGGGATGGTTCTGGTTGTTCGTACTCATGGGTGGCTTTACCTGTTTCTGCGGTTTCGTCTTTGGCTTCTTCCTCCCAGACTCGTTTCGCATCCCTGCTCGACATTCTTGCCTGGACGTGCGCTTTTCACTCCGAGGGAGGTCCACATTTTCAGAAATTGTGTCTTGCTTGACGGCCTAGCAAAGGGAAAGAAGAAAAAGAGGATTGGTTTGACAGCTATTAAGAAAGCCTGCAGCAACTGGCGCATGTGGGTGCACTTCCTCATCACCTTGACCAACGATGGCCCTGAACGTGCTTTTGATACATATTTTTCTCATTGCTTTTTTGTTGTCCGCTTTGTCTTGTTGTGAGAAACGATCATCGATGTGGCGAGAGCGAGTCGTATTCTCCGCTTGCGTGTCTGCTTTCTAGAAAATCACTTACACAGCGTGGTCTACCCGCTCAGATCATACAAGAAACTTAAGAGATCTACATTCCGTACTCTCGAAGCGATTCACCATAACAAACCACACGATCGCCGGTAATTCGCAAGATACGACTAGATTGGACGTCCGGAGAGTTGTGGCGCATGCGACCCTGCCGAGATATACCATGCTGTGCATAAAAAGCCTATACATCTGAGCTACTGCGGTACGGGATGGCTCAACGGGGAGAGCGCCTGGTAATCCCTCTCGAAGTAGCTATATATACACCCATTTCTACGACAAGAAGAAGATCGTGGGTTCGAATCCCATAACCCCCAACCCTGCACGCTCACGTCAACGAACCTTGTCATGTGCGATGTGCAAGCTGCTATAAGACTGCCTCGCTATTTGCACACTCCTGCCTAGCATTGATAATGCCACTAACACGTCTGTACAATTCCACTACTAAAACACTACTACGTTCTTCGCAGACGAGAACGATCTCTCCTCGGAAAGAAACCTTCGAAAAATAATGGAAGAGGGGTGTTCATCTACACGGTGTCCTTAGATTCGTCGTCCGAGCGTATCGTACGATTCAATGGTCGTATGTTCTTGAGCCGCAGCCGGATCTGCGATCGGGTGACAATTTTCAAGGTTGTGGAGCACTGTTTCCTGCCGCTTCGCGTGACGTATTTAATCTCAGCAACGACCTCAATCCTTGATGTGTATCACTTCACATACCATCTCAACTTCAGATCTTGACTACTGCATCATGAGTGAACGAAGCGCCGACGATCTCACTGGCGCAGGTGATTTCTGTTTTTCCACGAACCACGTTGATCCCAACGACGCCAAGAATAAGGGGGATGATGCTACGTCTCAACTGCGCACCGAGTCTTGCATCAGACTAAGGACTTTGTCGCAAGTCCATCTCCACGACCATGACCAGGAGCACACACCAGAAGAACGAATGCAACCTACAACCATTCCAAATACCGTGGAGCTTGAAGAAGCCTCTTCCTCAGATTCGATTCCTGTTGGGATCACGAGCCGTTTATTCGTCTCACACTTCCTCTCAACATGGATTTCACGACTGTTCGAGATGGGCGCTGTACTCTTCATTGCTGCCATCTACCCTAACACCCTACGGCCCTTGTCTATCTATGCGCTCGTGCGAAGTGCTTCAGCGATCGCATCGGCACCAGCACTCGGCTCTTGAATCGACAAAGGCGACAGGCTTAGTGTTGTCAGAATTTCCATCGTAGGACAGCGGCTAGCAGTGGAGTCATCATGCGGCATCTTCTGGATTCTCCTTGTACGAAAAGAGATGGCAAGCGGTCTCAGATCCGGCCTATTCAGTCTTACAGTAGTTTTTGCTTGCATTGAGAAACTGTGCTCGATCCTGAATCTGGTGTCGGTGGAGAGAGACTGGTTAGTCGTCATCTCAGAAGGACGTGATGCAGCCCGTCGAAAGTTGAACGCTCGTATGCGCCGCATTGACCTGTTCTGCAAGCTGTTTGGACCTCTGGCAATCTCTTTAATAAACGGGTCATCTCTCTGGGTCACTCTAGCGATGAGTTGCGTTTCCGTTGTCGTGGAATACTTTGCAGTCGCAGTCGTGTTTAGGCTGGTTCCGGCCCTTCAACGAGCAGAGTACCTGGATGCGACTACTACGGAAGTTATCGAGCAACAACAACCATTGATACAACCTGGCAGCTCCTCGCTGCCACGAAGGCTTTACAGCTCCCTTGTGACAGGAGCCGCTTACCTTCTACCTCTCGAGTCCTTTCCTTACTATTACCAGCACTCGGCGTCTCTCCCATCCATCGCTCTATCCCTGTTGTATCTTACGGTGCTCTCGTTTTCCGGCCAAATGATCACATTTCTCCTCAGTGTTGGCTATTCGTCCACCTATGTCGGCATTGCTCGTACGATCAGTACTGTTTTTGAACTCTCAGCAACCTGGATAGCTCCTATGGTTCAGCAACGTGTCGGCACTGTGCGAGATGGTATGTGGTTCCTTACGTGGCAGATGTTTTGGCTTGCTGGCGGCCTGTCATGGTTCTTTGTTAGTGGCACCGCCCTAACAGGACACAGGATCTTCTCGGCAAGCGGGCTCGTTGGTGCTGTCATACTCAGCCGCGTTGGTCTGTGGGGCTTCGATCTTTGTGCACAGAGCATCGTCCAGGAAGAGGTTAACGACCATTTTCGAGGGGCGTTCTCAAGTGTCGAGGCATCATTCCAGAACCTTTTCGAGATGCTGTCGTACATGACAACAATTGTGTTCTCGCGGCCGGATCAATTTGAATGGCCTGTTGTTATGAGCGTCATTGCTGTCTATGCTGCTGGGAGCACTTATACCATATATGTAAGGAAGAAGCGGGGTCATCTAATACATGCTCCCAATTGGGTTAAGTGTTAGTCCGGCATCAAGTGTGATGAACTAGTCACAAACACGTGCTGGTAGAATCAACTGTTACGGACTGAACCGCGATCTAACGATCGAATAGATTACCTATAATACAAGAAGGATTTGCTAAGGAAACAAAGGGAGGAAGGAGATCCCTCCTTCGTACGACAAGCACGCGTGCCAAGCTCTGAATCCAGGGTCCAGGGTCGGACCCGTAACACTGGAATTCCACCTGTAATTGCCAAAGGAACTTGATTTTCTTGAGTACTGGCGCACCGTACGATTATATACACAAGCTACCAAGAAACCTCCGCTCCGACAACACAATAACGTCCTCCCCTACTGGGACTGAAACGCCTGCTCAGTGTTGTCGCCAATATTCAACAGAAACCAACAATACAAAGGAGAGTTCGTCTGACAAGGCACGAGGCTTCAAACGAAGGTTCTCACGTAGCAAACAACTCCATCACAAGCAATTTCAACAGTTGTAGCCTTGCAAACATGCTCCTTCCTTCTTATTCTTTTAGGAGTTGCAACCCTTCTTCATCAGTTGCAACACTTCCTTCTCTTCGACCAATGCAACAGCCCATCAACACAACAATGTCTGCTGCAGTTGCAAGTCCTTCGGCCGGCTCTCTCACCAACACTGGCAAGCGCGGTGGAGATGGCGGCGGCAAGCCTCCTCGCAAGCCAACTGGCAAGGGCGACCCTACTGGTCATTACTCAGTCAACCAGATCACAGAGGTTAGTGAGTTGCACAAATTTTTGACCCTGTTGTAGTGATTCTGATCTTGTAAGAGGTAACATCATCAACAAGCTGGATCTGGCTTTCATCACACAGATACACCAGTCCGCCATGGCTCTTGCAGACGCCGGCGAGCAAGTCAGACTTCGTGTCGAAGGCGCTGCCTTTCTGGAGCGCAACAGTCGTCAACGCCTAGCCCCTAAAGTTCCAGACATGCTTGATCAGGAATTCCACTCTTCTTCTTGCGCACTTACTCTCGACGACGATGTCTTTCTCAAGAGACATAGTACGCGTAGCGCCGGCTTGCAGATCATCGACTATCCCATCTTGCTGGCTATGTGAAACTTCCTTAGAGGAGCGTAACAAGAGGCGCCAGGCTGGCAAGAAGTAAGGTTGTTGCAAGGGTTGCAACAGAGAACTGATGGCTTCCGAGAGACATTTCCTTTGTTGCAGGAGGGTTTTCATCTGTATACAGCTGAAAGTAGCTGTTTCTTTTCTTTTTTGATAGCAGAAAGTTGCTGATTCTTTACTGATTCTTACCAAAGAGGCGGCTGCTTTCTTGCGAACGAAGCGCAGCATTATTAGCTAGCAACAATACTCGTTTTCTTTGAACTCACGTTCCAAATTTCCTCATAAGAGTTTTCTTTGCACCCAAGGAATAACCACTCTTTACAGGAGGATTAGAGTTGTCTACAATGTCCGTTGTAGCTGTTATATCGTTGCGAAGAGAGAGGGTGAGATTCGACGGCGTGTAGCGCGTTAAGTGGTTTGCGAAACTTTTTTCCGTGCACTGTACATTCAGAATATCGAAAGACATACCGCGCATCCACAGGAACAGAATATCACCTGTCAAGAAAGTGTGGCTAAGGGGAGTGCCAACAACATGGCAAGACTGATGTAGGCGTGTAATGACGCATGTGATTGAATGAGTGTATATGGCGAGAAAGTCTCCTAAGCAATCCACAAAAGTAAACGGCTCCAGCCGTACCCGTTTGTCTCTCCATCAAGACATTGTAGCCTCGGTCCTCAATAGACGCTCCGGACAAATGTCGACAGGAAACATCGTGCGTCAAAACAAATTTGCAACGCAATCTGATCCTGCAATAGCAAGAGGAATTCATGATGGAATGCCAGGCGTCGGACTTATTTCTGTATCGAAGGCGCTGGTCATTACATGTGGGGCTTATCAGGTAGGTTCACTTACACCGCAAGTCTTGCAGGAGCAACTCTGATCACAAGTGCAGGTCTTGGGACCGCTGCAGTCGCACTTAGAACCACACTGGCAGGCCATCTTTTAGGTTGTTGATGAAATTGGCTATGAGGAACTTTGGTTCAAGTTGCAGAACGATGATTAGGTTATATGAACGCGATGATTGATTGTGAGAAAGACGAAAACACATTCGGCCCAAACCGAGTTTAAGTATTGCTGCTGTCCATCCGGTACGATGACGATCGTCCCGTGACGTTATTACAACGTCGTGGAAGGCAGCTGTTCTATGCCGCGGATCTCTCGGTACGACTGATCCAGTGCGCATCGAATGTCATAAGGCGTGTAGTTAGCTCATGTTCAACACCAATACCTTGTAAAAAA